TGACATAGGCGTACGAATGGCTATAACGGCAAAAGAAGAAGTGAGGGATGATTGAGAATTCTTCCCAAACTATGGATAGATGGATTCAAGTTTGAAACGGGGTACTCATGACTCATCTTCTTCCTGAACCACCTCTATAGAGTGAATGAAGTATTACGTTTTAGAAGATGAATTTTCAACTTGGATGTAGCAGAGAATAGCAGGAGAAAACATAGAAAAATTTATCTTACCATTTATTGTTCCTTTGATTTCAATGTTAACTCTCTTTCTATGTTGCATTTGTTTGTTCAATCTCGAGATTTGTGGTTGGTTTTTGTGTGAATTGTTACATTTGTTGGTTTGAGGGATGTATTGTGACTTTTAATGGTGATAGTTACGTCAAATGTCTTGCATGTTCAGCAAAAGGTATTGCTCAAGCATGTGTAGACCATTCTAAGTCTGATTAGAGACTGAGAGGTCTTACGGTTATTATGTGTTTGGAACGATGAGTAGTATGAGGTGTGGGTTGAACGTAAGAGTTTGGATTCTTTCTAAAATTGTTTTCAATCAAAATTTGTGAAAGTCCACTATAGTTTTATACGCCCTCTGTCCCATCAAATAATTTCACATTAACTTTGATCAGAGTTTAAGAAAGTGAGAATAAAGTGGAAATGTATGGTTGTGATTGTGTAAGAAAAAGGTAAATTAATATGAGGCAAACAAAACTTTCCAAAAAGGAAAATGTGAACTATTTTTTGGGATGATCCAAAACGAAAATCGGGAACTATTTTGCAGAACGAAGGAAGTATGATTTACAGATTTTAATTAATAATTTTGAATTCTATCTCATCCCGTGCAACACACGGGTGATTGGTCACTTATAAATAGGGAAGACTAATAGTCTGTCCCCTTAATTATAATATGGAGTGATAAACATGTAAGTATAAATGTAATCGATAAAAGTAATATTCTCCGTTATTGATGATCATTTGGTTCCTGTTGTGATCGCTTTGTAGAATTGATGGAACAAGGACCTTCCGGTTTCCGAAGTTGACCGAATTTACAACTGTTTAATTATCTACATCCGAATTTATATATTAGCATATAAAATATGTATATTTTACATCCCGTGCAACGCACAGGTGAAACACTAGTAAGTTCTTAATGTATTTGTATACAAATAAAATTTAGTAAATGTTCCCCAACATTTACCCCACTGATTTTGGTGGTTCGTCTTCCAGGGTTAAAAAAACTACTTTGACTCTTTATATATGTCACATGGGGAGAAAACTTACATATATTTATAGTGCCCAACCTTTACATTTCAAAGTTTTACGTTCGAAATTAGTCTGCACAAAATTTTATATGGTATATGCACTCTTCTAAAAATCGCTCTAGACGCTCGACTAGTCCCCACCTAGGCGCTAGGCGGTGGCCCGACGCCTCGATTTTAGTCTAGGCGCTCCGACTAATTGATTTGGTGCCTAGGTGAATTAGTCGATCACTTAAGGCGCCAAATTGCCCGCCCAGAGCGCTTAGTCGCCCCCCTAGACGTCTAGATTCATTGAACATTTTATTTTGCCTTTTTATTTTAGTATTCTTCGAAATATATATACCCTTAACTTTAACAACGCATATGAAGAAAGTTATTAGTTGTAGATTACGATAACAACTTAAGTGTTATTATGAAGAAATTCCACTTATGGTCCTTCGAGTTTTGCACCAATTCCACAATTAGTCCTCGTCTTTCATTTTATCCATTTTTGGTACCTGACTATTGTTTTCTTGACCATATATAGTCCTTTTCCGATAGTAAAAATGCTCAGAAATAGATCACAAATGGTCAAGAAAACAATACTAAGGTACCAAAAATGGATAAAGTGAAAGAAGAGGACTAAATATGGAAATGATACAAAACTCGGAGGACCTAAAGTGGAATTAATTCTATTATTATTTAATACTACCTCCGTCCTATTTTATGTGTCTCATTTGGTTTTGGCACAATTTTTAATAAAATGGTTGAAAAGATAAAAGTTGTGGTTGAGATTTGAGTATAGTAAAGTGAAATGTTGTGAACGACATATTTCTTTCCAAAAAGGGAAACGTGACACTTATTTTGGGACAACCGAAAAAGGAAAGTAAGACAGGTAAAATGGGATGGAGGGAGTAATATTTACTACATAATGAAGTTAAGTGAGTAGGAATGATATATTATTAAATGTGACAACTCTATCATTCATGCATGTTAATGTGTATACATATTTTTATACACATCAAAACACAACATTACTAATCATATTTATGCAAAAACATTGATAAAATTATAATTTCTATGTTTCCGACAAGCCCCCGCCTAGGCGCCCGCCTAGCCGCCTAGGCGCTGGCTGGCGCCCGACTAGGACCTAGCACCTTTTAGAACATTGGATATATGTTACATTTATTTTTAGGGTTTTTGGATGAGCTATTACAAAGGTATGAGAAAATATTTGACCAGAGAATGCCACGTCTATAGCCAAATAAGTTGTTGATCGTATAATGGGAATGCGACAAAATGACCAAGCACTGGGAAGGATCGTACAGAGTCTCCAAGAAATACGCTCATGGGACGTTCATCCTCCACGCAATGGAGGGGCACGCCTCAGGCGTGTGGAATGTAGAGCACTTGAAGAAATTCTATCAAAAAAACCATCTCACAAAATTCCTTCCTCCCCCCAAAAAAATGCGGGAGAGGGAGACACAACTCCCGAAGCTAGGGAATACCAAGGGATAGACCTGTTCTTCATCAAGATCATCGGCCTCGCACAGCGTAAGACCAAGGGGCAGCACGGTGGCCTGATGATAAGATGGTTGAACGAAGACGAAGACCTCTAAAAAAACAGAGGGGCACTAGGGAATTCCAGCGGATAGACCAATTCTTCATCAAGATCATCGGCCTCGCGCAACATAAAACCCAGGGGCAGCACGGAGGACCGATGATAAGATGGTCGAACGAAGACGAAGACCCTTCAAAAAAAGGGAAGGGCGCTAGGGAATCCCAGGGGATAGACCTGTTCTTCATCAAGATCATCGGCCTCGTGCAGTGTAAGACCAAAGGGCGGCACGGAGGACCGATGAGAAGATGGTTGAACGAAAACTAGGGGATCCCGCTCGTCGCCAAGATGACGTTCTTGATGGAGTATATTCCCGAATACCCCAGGGGTACCGCGATCGCCGTAGAGAGCCTTGCAGGTTCATCGGAAGCGAGAAAATACTAAGCCGACATTTGGATCCGGCCCCGACCCGGACCACCGAGGTCGGGAAGCACCAAGTTCAGGAATCAAGTAAACTCAGCAGATAACGCAGTCCACCGACCCCGACCCCGACCTCGAGGTCGGGAAAACATCGAGCTCAGGAGCCAACTAAACTCGACGATTCATGAGCCCGACCTCGGGACGTCCGAGGTCGGTGCCAAGTCTGACCTCGGAAGTCTCACTCCAGGTCAACGTCAATCAAAGCACTAGGCGGTCAAACCACTTCCAAAGCAAGAATGGAAGACAACAGAACGAATCCTCTCAACATGGGTCCGAGCCCCCAGATACCGATCTTAGTAATCCTTGAGGTCGGGAGAAAAGCACCATGTACTTAAAACAAGATGAGATCGTGAGGTAACATCACCACGTCACTCTCCGCGCTGAACGGGATATACCAGATTATCTACGTACAACTACACGGGATCTTTTGTAGGAGTTCTGTTAGAGGAATGATCAATCAGCCAGCTACCAGAGGCTCTCTCTCTCCAATCAACTTTCCACGTGGCTGCTCCCGGTCCATTTAGTATGGTAGTTTGTTAGAATAACTTTACACGTGTCCCTCTCCTATTAGACTAGTGTCTTTTTACTTGGGCACCAAGTATTTCCCTTTCTCCTTAGTATAAATATCACCTTCCAACTTGTGGAAAGGGATCAAATTTTAGAGGTTTGAGCTTTTATCAATCGCACTCTAAATTTCATACTGTGACACTTGCAAACCAGTTCGCTCTCCCCATTTCCTCTCCTACTCTCGGTGGATTCCGGCCATCCCTGGTCCGACGATCCATCATTTTTGGTGCTTTCATTGAGAGTTGAACTGTGAACAAGTCAGATCCTCCCAATTTTCTTCAGATAAACATCAAATTCCTCCGCAACAATGGCAGGAAAGAAAATAATCAGAAATCGACGCGCTGCCGCCGCCGTCGCGCAGGTTGAGCCCTCGCTGGAAGCTACTGTTACTTCCGGCACTAGGAGGGCCGCTAAGGGAAAAACAAGTCGCTGGAACTTCTGTTGATCTGCGCAGTCAGATCCAACTTTATCACTGAAGAAGCTGAAGCTCTGAAGTGGGCTGGTACTGAAGATGTTGAGCTTTGCCTCAACAAGGACTTCCTTCTATCTGTTCTTGCAGAGAAGAAAAAGAAGGAATGCAAAGGCAAAAGCAAGCACACTCATGACATTGAAGAAGAGCATGTCAAGGCTCTGACAGAAGATGAGATGGCAGCCTTTGATGAATGGCTGATTGAAAAGAAGAGGAAGGAATCTCTGATCAAATTTCGCCATAGTGCTCATGGAGAAGGGGAACCCTCCACTGCTAATGATCTACCTTTGGTCATGGAGAGGCTGGTCAAGGAATGGAGGGATTCACAGTTCACAGAGACTCTACTTGAGGTAATTCCTGAACCTCAACCCTCACCTAGAATACCAACTCCCTTTACCACTCCACCCCAATCTCCTCACCAGAAAACCCCATCCCCACAGAAATCCCTTCCATCCCAGAAATCTCCTTCTGTCAAATCCAAACCCTCTTCTTGTAAACCAACACATTCTACCAGAAATCGTTCTCCTTCACCTCCACCATCTCCTCCACAACAAACAATTCCCTCTCCCCAACCTACACCCCTACCCCAGAAAACCTCTTCAACTCAGAAATCCCCTCCTAAATCTCAACAGAAACCACCCTCTCCTGCTGCATCTGCTCCCAGAACCTCTCTACACTCAGTTGCATCTGCTCCCAGGAGGCAGCCTCTACACCACATTCTCTCCTCTGATAGTGATAATAATGGCTTCCTGTCATCCTCTCTTGCTGGAGAACTTACCTCTAAACGCCAACCTACTCCTCCCAGAGAACCCTCTCCCCAGAAACCCTCTCTGCAATAGACCAATAGGTCTCCTATGCACAGGTCCAGAGGATTGGGTATGCCAGAACAAGCAGGAACAGAACCCCAAATGCCCTTCAATCAGTTCGTTGAAGCTGCAGAAGAATTTGGTGGACAAATTTTGGATGGCATGAACAAGCTCATCCAGATAAATGACAAACACTTTGAGCACTTGTCCCACGTTAATGACAATCTCAACTCTGGTATGGACTTCATCTCATCCCGCTTCTCTGCTCTAACAGAATCTT